AATAACTGACCTTTTTAGGGCTGGGGATTTAGCTCAGTGGTTCCACCGCCTGCCTTGCAAGCACAAGGTCCTGAGTTCAATCCCCAGTACCCCCCCCCCACCACAAAAAAGAAAGTAAAAAATTAGGACCTTGGATAAATGAGTAAAGTTGAGGCTCTTTCTTCTGGGGAACTTGAATGGGGAGGTTCTCTCTAAATCTCTAAATGAAAGTGACCTGTGGAAGACATCACACATCCCTACCTCATCCAGGTGTTTTGGAAAAAAATCAGAAAGAAACTAGTTGGGTTGTACGAGAAATTTCCTCTGGGCCAGGGATGTAGCTCAGTGGTAGAATACCTGGCTAACATGCATAAGGAGAAACAAAACTTTTTTAAATTTTTTGATATGTTTTTTTTTCTTGGTCCTGGGGATGAAACCCAGGACCTTGTGCTTTTGAGGCAGGTGTGGCGCCACTGAGGTAAATCCCTGGCCTGAGAAACAAACTTCTTTTGCTTAGCCCATACCACTTTTAGGTAGCTGGATGCCAGTAGGTTCAATGAAATTTTGAGTAGAGCTGAGTGACCTTGAAGCAAGACAAATCTGAATTGAAATCCTAGCTCTATACTTTTTTCTTCCTTGCTCTGTACTTACAGTATGCCTTCAAGCAAATTAAATCCCCACTCAGTTTCTTTACCTAGGAAAAGAGCATCTCATTTTTGTGTGGATAAAATTCATTAAGATTGGAAATGTTGCACAGAAACAGGGCTTGTTTTCCCCCCAGTAGTGGGGCTAGACCCAGGACCTTCATACTAGAGCTACATTCCCAGTCCTTTTTGGAGACAAGGTTTTGCTAAATTGCTCAGACTGAGCTTCAACTTGAGATTCTCCTTGTGCTCACTTCAGCAGCACATATACTTGAGATTCTCCTGCCTCAGCCTCCCACAGCATTGAAAGTACAAGTGTGAGTCAACACACACCAGGCTTCAGAGCCCTTTGTTTTTGTACTTTGGGCTACAATTAGATAATTTTTTTTTTTGGTATGGGGATTGAACTCAGGACCTTGCAGTTGTGAGGACCCAGGCGGCTGTGAGGCAGGCAGCGGAACCACTGAATTAAATTCCTGGCTAGTGTATTGTTATTTTGATGTGGATGAAACGCACTTATAGCTAGTTTAAGCAAAGGGGAATTTATGGCCTCACACCACAGGGAAGTGGAGGTGAGACTGGCTTCAGAAATGACTGAAGTGGTGGTCTTTTATCTGCTTCACTCTGTGCTGGTTTCATGCTGCAGTTGCATTCTTCTCACTGATAGGAAGAACAAGGTGCCAGTTCCTCATGTTCACACCCTTATTACTTAGCAACTCCAAAACTTAAGTACTGATCTCAGGGATGACTGGCCGAGCATGGGATGTGTATGTCCCCTATAGTGTGATAAATGGGATATGGAATGGGATTGGGGGAAGAAAATAAGGAGACAAAATGCACAAAACTCACAGATGGCTACTGGAGTGAAAGACATAGGGCGAATAAAAACTCTCCAGAGCAAGGGGATCAGTCAAGCACTTTGTTCAACTTTAAAAATAAAAACAAAACTTTTATTTGACAAAGACAAAACAAGTTATTTACAGTAGTTGTTTGCTCAAATAACTGAATGGGACAACTGCTTCTCTTCCAGGTCTATCTTATAACCAACTCCAAGCAGAGGCTGCCCCATCCCCCGGACACCTCATTTTACTTAAGGGGGGAATACCAAACAGAATTCAGCAGCATGGCTCCCTCACCCCTCATCACCTCCCCTGCTCAGTGCTCTGTGGGAAGGGAAAATCCCATTCAGCCCAATATACTTCAAGTCCCTGCTACGGGGCACCCTGCAACGGTCACAATGGACCTGGGCTTGCTCACAGACATGGCTGGGTTGGACAACATGGGCAGATAGCAGCTTCAACTAGCTCTGAAGCTGCCATGTTTACCCTTTACCAGGTAAGCATCAGGATATGAGGATCCCTGACCCCCTGGGGCACAGGAAAAAGGGGCTGGAGGAGGTGGAGCAGAAAGTTCGGGAATCTTACCCACCCAGAGAGCAGAACTCCCTTTCAGTAAAAAAAAACTATTCCCACTCTCACAAGCAAGGGATGGGCCAAGCCACTCAAGAGAGGTGGGGGAGCCTTCTTGAGGGCACCAGGGTCTTCCTAAAAGGACAGAGGATGCGTTCTTCTGGCCAGGCCCACCCAAGTCAGTCAACACCCAGGAACCCCTTCCCCTTGTGCCCAACCTGGCAATTTCAGCAAACTACAGCCGGGCTCCTGGCATAATTTTTGGCCCAGTAACGTTATTAAGAACAAAAATATGCTGGCTAATAAAAATCTAAGATTAGTGTTTCTTAGCATATATAAAGATGGGGTATACTGCTGTTGAACACTATCAGCAATGAAACAGCAAAAAAGGGGAGATGAAGACCAACTATGATATGTTTCACTGGGAAATTCAGGCAGGCCCCTGCAACTCCAACTTACAGAAAGGTGAAAGATACTCAAAGCTACAGTATCAAGCTTTTAACCCATTTTCAGCCCCAGCTGTACGTACGCACTACTTCCTGCTTCCTCCAGGAAAACCTTCCTGCCTTGGTTGTGGGAAAAGCTGCCTACTGGAGTAGCTACAAGGGCTTCCTGACCAGCAGATGGCTCACTTCTCTCCAAAAAGGGAATGCTAGAGCTTCTGATGTTCTAGTCAAGTTCCTAAAGCATTCAGGACTCAGGCTGTAGCCAAAGCCTTGAAGAACAAAGGGGAAAACATTAAAATGAAAGAAAAAAACCCCCAAAAACACTGTCTTAGTCTAGTTTACATCCCATACCCCCCCCCCCCAGTAAAAACAAAAACTTCTCTGGTTTTCTCATTCTCTGCTCTAAATCTAGGTTTTGTCAGATTGGGGTCTCCCTTGGCTGTGGCTTTATCCCCTTCAGTGTCTAATGCAAAAAAGCCAGTGCCCGTGTGTTTTTCCTCCCTGCTTTTTTTCCAGAGGTGGCAGGAGTGATGGTGGTAAACCAACACCAAAACAACCATTTGGAATTTTGTGCTAATGCAGAAATTTAGCTGGTCCCCAAAATAACAAATACGCCTTCCTTATACAACAATCCTCAGTTGCAGTGGTGGATAATTCTCAGTTTATCAGACTATCGTGAAATGCTGCCATTCCCCACACCTGGGATAACTACTGCTATTAATGCAAACCACAGCAAAAAGGAAAACCTTAACAGTTTAGCAAACACCTAAACATTCAACTGGAGTCGGTCCTGTTACATCTGCTGGGTTCCTCTTTTGTCCATATTTATGAACTTGTAATGTCCACACCTGGCTTGACAGAAAGAGGCACAGCTCAGTGGCAGCTTGGACCCAGAGAGGTCTGAACTTGGCAGGTTTCCTGAGCCCAGCCCAGGAAAGCAGGCTGGAACAAATGTCCTGGGGTTCTCTGGAGAAGCAGCAGCAGCACCATGTGGGTCTCCAATCCCTTGGTCTTGTCACTGAAGAGGCCTGGAGAAATGGCAGAGTCAGCATAGGAGAGGTCCCCATCATAGTGCAGTGATGCCAGAGGGCACCTTCCTGCTAAAGACCTCTGGACAGAGGAGATGATCTTGATGCTTGGCAGTGATCCATAGAAAACCCTCTGTAGGAAGGAAGCAAACCGGGAACCCAGAATAGCTGGCTGTAGCCTTGAGCACCCCTATTGGCAGATGCCTACTTGGGGTTCTCAGAGACTAAAGGGATGGGAGTGTGCAGTAATGGGGGTGCTGGGTCCTGCTGCTTCTGAAGCTCCATCTCAGCGGCCCTCTGCAGCGCCACTTCCACCAGCAGCTGGAAGCTGCTGAAGTCCTCCTTGTCCTGCTCTGGGGGTGTGGGTGGCGGTGTGTTGAAAAGTCCACCTGTGGGGCTCCCAGCCTCAGCCCTGGTCAGTAGGGTTAGTGTACCCCCTGGGGTGACCAGGGGCTTAGGGGGCTCTAGCTCCCCTTGTGGGAAGGGAGCTGCTGGCTTTTCCCCCTGGCCTGAGTGGAGCGGCACAGAGCACACAGATAAGGAGAGCACATTGGTGGGGGCTGGTACAGACAGGGCCAGCACTGAGGGGCTGTTACCACGGGGAAGGGCTACATCTGAGGCTTTCCCCCCACGGCGGGAAATGGTGAACTGATTAGGGTCTTTGCCATCCTTCCGCAGCATATCAGGGAGGAGCCGCCGCCGCGCGTTGATGAACCAGTTACATATCTGGAATGAGTACAAGAGATTGATCAGTTCACTCCATCCAACATAGCTATGAAGTACTGTTTTCCAGGCTCCAGAACACAGCAGCCAACCACACAGACAAGGTCCCATCCCTCACAGAGATTAGTGGCAGAGGGCAGAGTTATGTAAAAAAAAGTCACATACACTGAACCAGGCATGGTGGTGCGTGCCTGTAATGCCAGCTACTAGAGACTGAGGTAAGAAAACTGAAAGTTTGAAGCCAGCCCGGTTAACTTAATGGGGCCTTGTCTCAAAAGAAAAAATTAAAAGGGCTGAGGATGTAGTTTAGTGCTCCCTGGCTTCAATCCCCAGGACTGGGGGGACAAAAAAAAAGGCTGGACATGTTAGTGTACCTCTGGAAGGCTGAGTCAGGAAGATTCCAAATTTGCATCCAGCCTGGACAACATAGTGTCTTAGTCTTGGTTTAAGAAAATAACAACAAAAAAACAGTAGCCCAAGGTGGCCTTGAACTTGTAATCCTTCTACCTTAGCTTCCTGAATGCTGGGATTATAGGCATGTGGCACATGCCTGCCATCCCAGCACTCAGGAGGCTGAGGCAGGAGGATCACTATGAGTTTTAGGCTAGCCTGGGCTACAAGGTGGAAACCCTGTCTCAAAAAACCGAAAAAAGAAAGGCAGGATGGGTTAGGGATGTAACTGACTGTGAAGGGCCTGAGAAAAACAAATGTAAAATCACTACTATGTTAAGCCCAATAAAGGGACGCTACAATGGTGCTTTTGGAGACAATGGTTCTAGTCTTGTCCGTGGATATGAGAAGTATTCTGAGGAAGTGACTGTTTAGTTGAGATCTGAAGGACAAAGAGTCCCTGAGGTACAGGCAAGCAGGGAGGAATGGTGGGTCCCAGCACAATACTGAAGAGAAACTCAGAAGGCACGTCCACGTGGCTGGGGAGCAGAGCAGTAATTAGAGGTGACCTCTTACTCTAAGAATTTGGTTCTTTACAGGCATTTGGGAACCACAGGAGGGTTTTGTTTTTTGTTTATGGCCCTGCAGGTAGAACCTAGGGATTCTCTAGTGCTGAGCTATATCCCAGCCTTTACTTTTTTTCCCTATTAAGTTTATTGGTTCATTTTAGGTATACAATATAGTTACATTCATTGTTGGGAACTTGTACCATTACATGAGTATCTTGGTTCTTATTTTTTCCCCATTCCCCTGCCCTACCTTCACCCCCTCCATCCTTCCCTATTTACAAAGACTTTGTTTCCATTTTTTCCTTTTCTCATATTTTTTTCTTTTCCCTTCTTTCCTTTCCCCTACCCTTCCCACTTCTTCCACTCCTTTAGACCAGCCTTTACTTTTTACTTGGAGAAAAGGTCTAAGTTGCCCAGGCTGTTAACTTGTCATCCACCTGTCTCAGCTTTCCGAGGAGCTGGGATTACAGGTGTGCACCATCATGCCTGGCTCATTAGGAGGATTTTAAGCACAGGGTGACTTGCTATGTGGACAACAGATTGGGAGCAAGTCAGGCTGGCAGTTCAGACTATGTTATGGGATGTGGCAAGAAAAGGACAAATATTTCATGAAATTGAAGAACCTGCTGCCCAGTTGGGTGTGGGTGGGTGAAGAGGGGATAATGTTCAGAGTATTTCACTCCTCAAAGGCTGGAAAGCACAATCTTGCTTCAGTGAAGAGAAAAAAGCCCCAAAGGCAACTACGGGCTGACAAAAAAAAAATTATTACTGTTTCTAAGCAATACTGAGACTACGAGGCATGAAATGTCCCACTGGTTGGCTGCAAGGCCCATGGTGCCTGTAGCTTGGGGGGGCACATCTAACACCCTACCCCATATTTGTCTGGGCTTTTATTTTTTTGGTACCGGGAACTGAACTTGGGTCCTTGTGCTTGCACAGCAGCCAGCAAAACCACTGAGCTAAATCCCCAGCCCTGTCTGGGCTTTCTGTGCATATGGTACTGAGGATCAAACCCAGCCCCCTGGACTGACTCTTTATAGCTCCTGACTTCATTGTTCTCCACTTCATCCTCTCACTGGTTGTCAAGTCTCTTTCTACTTTTTTCTCTCCAGTACTAGGAACTAAAGGCAGGGACTCACACATGCCAGGCAAGCATTGTACGACTGAGTTATACCTTCTACCCCTTTAATTTTGAGACAAGGTCCTAAGTTGCCCTGGTTGGTCTCAAATTTGCAGTACTCCTACTTCAGCTTCTGAAATAGGTGGTACTATAGGCACGCACCACTGTGTCAGCTGGGGATGCCTTTTGGCAGACAGGCACTGTGCCCTGTGGTCCATCTAATCATGTGGACTGCCAATAAACCAGTAGGTGAGTGGCCATCATTAAATGCCAGGCAGGAAATAAGAACAAAGGAATAGTATATAAAAATAAGAGGCTTGATAGGGGTCATACCTAAATGGCAAGAATAACCAGCCAACAGAAAGAATGTTCTAGAAAGAAAGACCAGCAAATGCCAAGGTCCTGAGGCAGGAAAGGGTTCATTTAAGAACTGACAGGGTATGGGCTGGGGATTTAGCTCAGTGGTTCCACCGCCTGCATCATAAGCGCAAGGTCCCAAGTTCAATCCCCAGTACCAAAAAAACCAAAACCAAAAACCAAAAAAGAACTGACAGGGCAGGTGATGGCCTCATTAATGGGCAGGGCTGACTGCACTGGCCTGGAATATTGGTAAATTGCTTAGTATCTTGACAGAAACCTGACACTTCAGGTCCTTCTCCTGGTCTTTTTTCTCTTTAGTTCATCAGTAGGTACTTAAGGACTTGTAAGCAATATAAGCTGCTATAGCAGAAAAAAAAGATAGGAGACCCATTCTTTCCCTTCACCTCCTGTGTTCTAGGAGATGGGAAGTGTGTGGGCTGCTGCAATGTCTAGCATTCCTCTAATGTCTATGGAGTACATCAAAGGCCCAAGGCTCTTGTACTAATTTCCGTCTCTGGCTATTAGCAGACTTCTTTTTTTGGTACCCGGGATTGAACTTGGGTCCTTGCACTTGCGAGGCAGGCGGAGGAACCACTGAGCTAAATCCCTGGCCCCAGGCTTCTTCCTTGATCCACATCTGAGGAAGCCCTTGGCTACTATTTTCCCATCAACTCTGCCCTTGACCAGGCAAAAGGACAGCCACCTGTGACAGGAGCTGGTGGCTGCAACTGCAACCATTCCACAGGTGTTCCAAAGATAGTACTAGGCCTGGCAGGCTGGAAAGCCCAAAGGCAGAGCCAGACGTTTCTGTGGCCCTTCTTTATTCCACCCTGGACGGACCATGACCCTGTAGCTTGCATATCCTCTTCACCCCATGCTCCTCCCAATGCAACAGGGCACGTAACCAGCATCACTAGACACTGGCTGAGCTGACTTGGACAGGAGCTGCAGGGGAGCCCTAAATAGATGTAGGGCTGAACAGCTAGGTGGGAGGAAGGAAGGAAACAAACACTTTGGGTATTGTCAGGTAAAAAGGCCGAAAACCAAGAGCAGACCAGGCCACAACAAACCTTTATTAGGGGAATAGATCTGCCGGGTTGTCTCTGAACAAAGGAGAGACAAAAGCAATATGGCTGGGGCAGGGAGAGTCTTTTATAGAGACTGGGGTGGGGCTTGTAGGGGCTGAGGTAGGGTTGAGTGAGGTAGTGATTAGGGAGTGGAGGAGCCCGTGACTTCACTAGGTGGTAGGAGGTGAGCAAGTATTAGGTTACTCTCTAGGTGGGACCGGGGCATGGCGGGAAGAAGGGTTTGTTCTCTGGTGAAAGCAACCATCTTGGCATGACATCACACAGGGGAGGGGGCAAGGTACCATAGGAAGAGGGCAGCTACTATACATAATAGCTGCTGAGGTAGTGGGAGACCTATCAGGTATCAGGTATCATCATGGCAGCCATCTCACTTGGATTATGTTTAATCTGCATACAAGCCCTCGAGGAAATGAGCAGTGTCTCCACAGTACTGCACAGGGAACTGGAGCTCAGTGACGTGAAAGAACTTGCCCAAAGTCACATGGCCTCTGAGTGCAGAGCTGGGATTGAAACCCTGTTTCTTGGCTGTGGGGGACCCACAGCTTCGCTCTTCTCCTTCCAAACAAGGTTCAGACAGGATAAATGAATAATCATTCTTCTCCTAATAGTAACTTTAACACAAAACATCAGGTGCCATTCTATTACACATATTAATCTTCAACAGCCTATGAAGTGGGTTCTATGATAATCTCCTTTGGAGAAACAGAGGGCCCAGTCAGGCAGGTTCAGTAACTTCCTCAATTTCACACGTGCAGAGGCTGCACTTTGACCAGACAGCTGTTTCCAGGCACCCACCACTGCCAGCATAAGAAGTCAGCCTGAGGCCCTTTCTCCTGGCTCCAGGGCAGCATTTTCCATCTTCCTTCCCTCCTTCCCACAGGGGCTTCCTCAGCTATCGGTACTACACAGGAGGGCACCACATCTCTCCACCTCCCTGCTGCATGCAGGGAAACGGTAGGGTCACAGTGACCTGGGTCAGGCAAAGTTGAGCCAAGTGTGGCTGGGGGAAAGTCTCAGGGAGGGGGCCTGGGCGATGCCTAGCAGCTGTGTGGATACTGAGCCCCTAGCTCAGTTTTGGCTGACTACTCAGAGAACAGAAAACACCCCCTTCGGACATCCCCAACTGCTCACCTGGGTCCACAGAAAACTAAGCCCACAGCCTGTCTGATCTTTTCATCCCACCCCACTGAGGGGCCAGAAAAAGGAGGGAGGCCCAAGTGCATCAGTGCATCGCAGTCTCTTCTAGCTGCCTAACCTGTGGGTAAGTTAGAAAAGAACATGTGACTTGCCCCTACTCAAGGTCCTCAAGAGAGGTGGTGGAAGTGTGCCACGGTGAATTCTGTTTTATGGTTCATGCGGCAACACACAGGCTGGGTACACCAAAAGCCTCCTTCTGCCATCAGACAGGCTCATGTGAAAGGCTGCTGCCCCGTCAGGGTTTTTAAAAAAATCATTGGCAAATGGGGGTGCGGGTCGGAGGGGCACCAAGAAGTGAACCTAGGTAGGCCATGGAGATGATGTAATCAGAGAAGGCAGACAAGTGCTTTCATTCTAACGTCTTCTAAGCTGGGGAAGATAGCAAAAAGGGACAGAAGGCAGGGACAGGTCTTTCCCAAACACCACAGCATCCCTGTATGTCTGGTGACCACCCACACTTAGGTGTTTTGTTTAGGTTTTGGTTTTTTGAGACAGGGTCTTGCTGTGTAGTCCAGGCTGGCTTCAAACTCCCAGCCATCCTCCTGCCTCAGCCTCCCAAATGCTGGGATCACAGGTCTGGTATAGACATGCGCCATCACTCCCTGCCCTGGAACTTGTAAGCCATCCAGAGGGTTCACATGTCCAGGAATCAATGGTTTACTCCACTGGTGGAACATGTCCTTGTGAGCCAAGCCTTCTATTTAAGCAAAAAATCTTATGCAGAAGCTCAAAAAGTATACACAGAGATGAAAGGCCTTGAGGTAGAGAGCCAGTCGGCTTGTGGGAGGGATCAGAAGGCAGCCAGCTTTGAGGCGAGAGGAGGAAAGCTGGGGAGCTGGGACAGAAAGATAGGCACTGATGCTCTGCAGGCTAGGCCACCCTCCCACACAGCTGCCCAGCGCCTCTGTACCAGGGCTTCTCACCCTAGGCCCTTATCATAGGGCCTGTCGCTCCTGCCCCCACAAGGGGTCAGGCGAAGGGTCAGAGAGGGCCTCAAAGAGGTTCCACTGTTCCAGCGCACAGCACAGGACCAGGCAAGCAGTCCCAGTGAATGTGGAGTGCAGGGATGTGGCCCAGAACCCTCTCAGGCAGCCCTGTACACTGGAAACCACAGATGGAATTCAACCAATAAACTGGGCTTAGAGGGTGTCACAGGAACCTGTGAAAATCCTTCACAAGACACTCCCCCCCAACCCTCCCAACTGCCTTGCTCTGGGCAAGTACCAGCAAACCAGTTGGTTAAATGACTCATTGACTTGCTAATCAGATAGCTCCCGGGCCTGTTAAAAGACAATCAAAAAGGATGCCTCTAGGGAAAACTAAAACAGGCCTGGTAAAATGTGGATACCTGGAGAAGGCAGAGGTATTCAGAGGTATTGAGGATTCGCTGTAATATTCTCTTACCTCTCTGGTTATTGGAAAATGTCCTTAATAACAAACAAAACTTTAAAAGTAAATATAGGAAAAGTGTCAGGCCTGCCCTAAATCAACAGGAGAAATAAACAGGCTGCTTTTAACAAATACCAGCAACTTCCCAGTGAGGCAAATGGACTAAAAAATACGGTCTATCACTCCTTGGTGCTGAACAGTCCAATAAGTGTACACATACCTGAGCAGAGCATCCAGACCATCCTTGGGCAGCTAAGTCATAAATATGTCACCCCAGATTCCTTAGCGCCGCCCCTCTTAAAATCCCCTGACCTTAGTCCCTGTTCCCTGGAATAAACTTTTCTTTTTTTTTTTTTACAAGAGCCTGTCTTTTTTTGGTACCGGGGATCGAACTCGGGACCTTGAGCTTGCAAAGCAGCCGATGGAACCACTGAGCTAAATCCCCAGCCCAAGAGCCTGTCTTTTGTTGACAAATGGATTCTGCATAACAAAAAGGAGATGCAGCGAGGAACTTAAATCAGTTTTTCTCAACTAAGGATCCTCTACAGTTCCTTACTTTGGACATTTCCAACACTGTCATCCTTTTCTGTCATTTCAACCATTTAATTACTGAGGATTACCCACCAGATAGCAAGCAGTGAGCTAACACTGAGGCTACAGCAATAAAACTAGATCTGTGTCCTTCACACCTCCAGAATTCAGTGCCATCTACAAAGCAACCAGTAGCTGGGTGTGATGGTGTCTGTAATACCAGCACTCTTGGGGGCTGAGGCAGGCAGATCATGAATTCAAGCCCAGCCTGAGCAATTTAGACCCTGTCCAAAAAAAAAAAAAAAAAAAAAAGCTGGGATGCAGCTCAGTGCATAGGTCCTAGGTTTAATCCCCGGTACTACAATAAAAATAAAAACACACAGCTAGTCAAGTACACCCCACACATACCCCAAGCCCCACTCCGTGCTCAGACCCGGTCCAGGTGCTGCAGGAAGATATAGCTCCCTTAGGAATCTGGAGTGCCCTGGTCAGAGGTGGGAGGAAAGCAGCTAAGGGCAGACATCAGTATGTGCAGCAGGAATGTGGGGGGCCAGGGATGAGGCCAAGATGCAGACAGGGGCAGGTGATATGATTAGGTTGGCAGGAGGCACTAAAGGACTAGAAGTCACAGAGTGACATGTGATCAATAGGCAATGGCATGAGAAACACACGAAAGAAGCTACAGTCCAGAAATACTTAAAACAACTATGTACAGAGACAGTGATTCCAAATAAGCTAAGAAGGTGCTATGGAGAGGAGCCCCCCCAGAAAGGGAAGCCAGCTGGAGGAGTTATGTTATCAGGCAGTCCCAGGTGCCTGAGGCTCCAAGAGAGCTGTAAGGTTGGGGCTGAAGTTGGAGACACAGTAGTGTCCTCATGGAGTGCAGAAGGTCCCCATTGCTTATAACCCTCAGCATGACGCTATAGAGCAGAGTAGCCACCACTGGGACCCTTCCCTAGACTCAAGATTTCTCCAAGTGGATCTGTCACCCTCAGGGCTCCACTAGTTCTCTACAAGGGTGCTTTGTGTTCCATTCCATCCCCAGTCACCACCTTTGTCCTACTATACCCAGCACAGGTAGCAAAACACCATCTGCCATTTAAAGTATAAAGTAGACTTTCATTATTTTTATACCTACCCACTTTGGAAAATTGTTTGATTTTATAGTTGTATATTAAAACAAAAATGGGCTGGGGATTTAGTTCAGTGGTTCTGCTGCCTGCCTGGCAAGCGCAAGGGCCCGAGTTCGATCCCTAATATCAAAAAACATAAAATAAAATAAAAACAAAAATAAATTTTAACCCGATTTTATGTATGTATATCTTTGAGTAATATAATAAAGTTAATACCTTTTTTTTTTGGTACTACAGGAAATTGAACTCAGCACCTTCACAGAATTTAATTGCCCAGGCTATGCTGGGCATGGTGGCACACACCTACAATTCCAGAATTCAGGAGGCTGCAACAGGAAGATCAGCATGAGTCTGAAATTCAAGGCCAGCCTGAATTACAAAGCAAGACTCTGTTGAAAAAAAAAAATTGCCCAGGCTAGCCTCGTGTGGACATGCACACCTATAATTTCAGCACTTGGGAGACTGAAGAGGAGGTTCCCTGTGAATTCGAAGAGGCCAACCTAGTCTATAAAGTGAGACCCTGTCTCAAACAACTACAACAGCAACAACAACAACAACAACAACAACAAATATGATGATGATAAACTGAAGGAAAAAAGCTGAAGGCAGGAGAACAGCAAAGAACTGTCCATGTAATCTTGGCTCTCAGGCTGCAGGCCTATGTAGTCCAACAATCTGTAAGTTTCAGGCCACCTCCTCTGGGAGGTCTATTTGAGGCCCTAGATCCTGCCCTGCCCTGGGTCTATGACCTCTCCTGTCCCAGCAGTGCTCACTTTTGCAAATATCAGTGACCAAGCCTGCCTTTTATCCCCATCCCTGAGGAGATACTCCCTCAGGGTGTCCTGAGGCAGGAAGCTGGGCACCGTGGGGGTGCTCAGGGGGTAACTCTGAAAGGCTTCCAGCTGCTAGGCACATCAGGGCTCAGTCCAAGACCTCCTGAACTCAGGGAAGATAAGTGTGGGCACAAGAGCAGAAGCACCCACTGTGGCAGACACCTTAGAGTAAGCTTTGAATTCTCAGTCCCTCCTTCCTATACCCTAGGAAAGTGCTACAACCATCTCCCTATTTTCAGATGAGGAAGCAGAGAGGCTCAGACAGCAGTGCACTGGGCTGAGGTCCAGACTTTCTCTTAGGGAGATAATGGAATCTGAGTCAGGATCTGTAACCTGAGACCCTTTCTCACAGACAGACTCGATTAACCACTACCAAGCCAGTAAAGCCAGTTAAGAGTCCCAAGGCTGAACACTTACATGTCTTTCCATGAGAGAGGGGCAAGGAGTTGAGAAGCAGGGAAGAAGTAGGACATAAAGGATTAAAAGGGTAAAGGAAGGAGGGCAAGAGTGCCATAGACTGAATCCCATTACAGGACAGAGGTGCAGAGTGAGGAGGGAGGCTTTCGGGGAGAGTCTGGGTTGGTTCATGCAGGGAGTAGCAAGGTCCAGCAGGGGGAGGGGGTCGAGCCCCAGTGCTAGGTCTCCTCTCCCAAGGAGGTGACACCCAAACGACACAAGGCAATGGTAGTCCAGGGTGCCTTGCCTCAGCACCATGAAAACAACAAAGACACCTGCAAGTCAGCATCAGGGAAAATTCAAATTCAAACGAGGAGCCCTGACACTTTTGTTCTGCAGTGCCGGAGATGGAACCCGGCACTCTATCACTAGGCTACATCCCCATTCCTTTTTATTTTCACACAACATCTCATCCCTGGTTAAGCTGCTCAGACTGGCCTCAAAACTGCTATCCTCCTGCCTGAGTAGTTAGGATTAGTGGCGTGTGCCACTGTGCCAGGCTGACACTATGTACGTGGTTTACAAAGCACTTTCCAGTTCTGAATCTATTCTTCACAACAGTTCCCTCAGGCAGAAGAGGAATCTAACCTTCAATTTCATAGATGAGTAGCACAAGACAGGGTTCATGGACAGTATGAGGAAGCTATGGTAAGCTAGTCAAACTTCTAGTTATGACCTCTGACTTCTGCTCTTTTTTTTTTTTTGGTACCGGGGATCGAACTCAGGTCCTTGAACTTGCAAGGCAGGTGGCAGAACCACTGAGCTAAATCCCTGGCCCTGCTCTTTTTTGTTTTGTTCTGTTGAGACAGGGTCTTACTATGCAGTTCAGGATAGCCTCGAACTCACTATGAAGCCCTCTCCAGAACTTTCCAAGGTCTGAAGTCTACGTGTTCTTACATGATCCAAGAAGGAACTAAGGCCCAGAAGGGGGAGATGTCTGCCCCATGGCCACACTGTTGAGTCAGTGACAGAGCTGGGACAGGACTAGAGCCCAGGTCCCCCACTTACCTGCAGCACTGAGAGGTTGGTCTGTCCGGAAAGGCTCAGTTTCTCTTGCTCAGAGGGGTAGGCATTGTAGCGGTGCAAGTACAGCCAGTCCCGGAGGATCTTCACTGACTCCTTGGGCAGGTTCCCCCTGCGCTTCCTCTTGCCCGCCAGGGACAGGAGACCTTCATCCTCACCTAGATCGCTGTCAGACATGGTGCCTAGGGGCGAGGCTGGACCTCCAGTGAGCCTGGGACAAGGACACAGGGGGAGGGCATGTTATTATGATGCACTGCCTCTTACCTAGTTCCTTGTCTCCAAACAGTACTACAGCCTGGGGCACCAGAAATGGAGGAGTTGCAGTTCAAAGCTTTGGGCTATACCATAGCTTGAGCAAGCTAGAAGGGAAAAGTCCAAGCTGTCACCATTTCATGGCATGGGTGGGTGACTACTGAAATAAACAGCAAGTCATTCATAAGTAGGAACAGGACTATAAATAATTTCAGCTACCACTGGTTAAGATCTGCTGTTTTCTGTGTTTTTTTACTATGTACAGATGCTTCACATCTATCACCTCATTTAATTCTTATAAACTCTTATAAGGGAGGAATTATTTTATTGATGAGGAAACAGATTAAGAAAGCCACCAAAAGTACTATTATGGTTAACACAAAGTTACCAAGCAACCCAGCAACTTCACTGCAAGCTATCTACTCCAGAGAAATATAACCTGGGTGCGCACAAGACTTTGAACATAAATGCTTAGCATTATTTGTAATAGCCAAATGGTAGAAGTATCCATCAGCAGATGGTTAGAGAAGGAAAATGTAATGTATCTATACAATGGACTATTATTTAGCTATAAAGAGTTGAGTTTTCATTCTGCTACAACATGGATAGACCTTGAAATCATGCTAAGTAAAAGAGACTAGTCATAAATGACTACATTTTTTTGTTTGGTTTTTGGAGACAGGGTTTTGCTATGTAGCCCAGGCTGACCTTGAACTCACTGTAAGCCCAGGCTGGCCTGGAACTCACAACAATCTGCTAGGATCACAGGTATGCACCACCATGCCAGGCAAGACCACATATTACACATCTGCACTTATAATGGGAAATCCAGACACAAGGCAGATTAGCAGTTAATCAGGGCTGGGAAGGATAGAAGTATGTGGGGTTTGTTTTCCAAGGTGATTAAAAAGTGAGGCAGGATATTCACCAGTTTGACACCAGCCTGAACAATTCAGGGAGATCCTGCCTCAAAATATAAAGTAAATAAAGGCAGGCTCAGTGGCACTGCACCTGCCTTGCAAGCCCAAGGTCCCAAGTTTGATCCCCTGTATAAAACAAACAAACAAACAAATAAAGGACAGATGTGGTAGCACAGGCCTGTAATCCCAGCACTGAGGATGCTTAAGACAGGAAGACAGTAGTCCAAGGCCAGCCTACACTACACAGTAAGAATGTCTCAAAAAACAGAAACAAAAATTCGAGTACAGTCACTGGGTGGTAAGAGCTGACCTAGCAAGGCCCTGGGTTCAATCCCCAGTACCACACACACAAAAACCTAAAATTGACTATAGTTGTAAATATACTGAAAACCACGGATGTGTATACTTTAAATGGGCAAGTTTTATGGTGTTAGTTAAACCACAATAAAATTATTTAAAAGATCCCACCTCCAGGATATGTCATCAAAGTAGGATTTGGATTCAGGTAACTTGCCTCCCCTCACACACCTTTTGGACTCTACATTATCCTGCCTCCCAGGTGTCTCAGGCCCAAGAGGAGTCTGGAAACTCTATATCACCACAGCCTGCAGCAACCCATGTAATATTTGCTGAGCACCAACTGTGTACCCTGCAGGAAAGAGCAGTGAGTCATTCCTCCTGGTTGTTTCTTAGACCTTCTCCTTGACAGCCTGATCCCAGACTCAACCTCTCAAAATTCAGATGAGTGAGCAAGGCTGGGCTCTGGTCCCTGCCCCACCCTCCACTTGTTTGTATGACCCTGGGTAAATGTCCTCCCCTCTCTGGGCGTGAAGCCCACCCTCCTTCACCTGTCAAATGAAGGAACTTTTCCCCCCTGGATATGCCAACTCAGCTGCTCATCCCCCAAAGTTCTGGTTCACAAGAGCAAAAAAATTTACATTTTAAAAGCAAAAATTCTAGGCCAAGCTGATGCCAGAATCCAGGCTCCTCCCTTCTCAGCCTTTTAACTGCTCCCCAGCAGGCCGGGCCAACACACTCTGGCATCTCCCAGGTTTTGTTTCCTCGACTTGGGCCCGAGCCCAGATCTCTGGGCCGGCTAGGCCAGGCTTTCGAGGGAAGGGTCTACCCTCAGCCAGGCCACCTGGAGGCGAGACAGACACTGCTTAGAGATGCCACTCCTCAGAGAGCACCACCAGCAGGCTGCATTCTGAGATCAGACATTTCCAGCCACCAGGGCAGCTGGGATCTGGGCTCAGAGATGCAGGTTGGCAGGCTGTGAAAAGTTTACTCAAGGTTATCTGCACAAATTCTACCCTGGCTATCAGCCAGAAGCCAGTCTGCAGGGTTCCAGGGGTGGGCCCTGGGTGACCCCTCTATGTGCAAAAACCTTTCCACCTCGGTGTCCTAGATCCCAGACCCGACAGCAGTCTGGTAGGTTTCCCATACATACACCCCATACTTGCACGTCCCCACACCAATCAATTTTAACAGCGCACAGATAGCTGGCCCCTACCCACTCCGCAAGCCCTGCAAACCCCATGATTTTCAGGGCCACAGACAGCGTCAGCTTAGAACCCCACGGGCCCAATACCAACAACTGTGACCCACCGAAACTAAGCCAACTCCTGCATCAGCCCACCCACGAATCCCCAACTGACCTGCCCACCCAGGATCTCCCCAAAAGGGGAAGAGCCGGACGTCATCACACCAGCCACTAGTTCTGTGGCAGCACTCTCAGACACAACGCCCGTGCACCCTCCTACACACTCCCACGACGCCACCTGCAGCTACTCCCGCAGGAACTTTCTGACAACTGCCCCAGCTCGGCCGCGCTCCCCCGGGCAGCGCGTTGGCGCTCGAATTTCCAGCAGTTCACACAAAGGGCGCAGCCTCCCCCGCGGCCCAGACCGAGCAGAGCACATGGCTCTCCGGGCGGCGAGGGGGTTTGGCCGGCGCTCGGGGCACCCGCACCCCCGGGCCCCCGCTTCAGAAAGCGCACAACGGCTCCCCCGCGGGCCCGCAATGCCCGGGGAGCGAAAGCTCTGCAAGAAAGAAAACTCACGTGTCTGTCCCGAGGCAGGAAAAAGTTTGGGTCCCACCCCCTTCCCCGGCTGCTCCGCGCAGGCTGACTCTTCGGGGCGCGGGGCCGGCGGAGCGTGCGCGCTCGGCTTTGTGCTCCAAACTCGGCCCGGAGGGGGAGGGGAGAGGAGGGGGCTGGGCTCCCACCTCCGCACCGCCCCCCCAGTCCTGCGCCCAGACTCCATGTTGGCCGCCCCCGGCCCCGGGGACCGCGCGCCTCCCCCGCGGTAGGGTCGGCTCCCCCTCGTCGGCCCCGAGGGTCTCCGCCGCACAAACTTTCTCCGGGTCGCTGGCCCCACGCGCCCCGCTGCCTCGGCCAGCCCGGGAGTGACAGATGCCTCGGAGACAGACTTTCCTTTGTTCCTAAGGAAAGGGGAACTCGCGCGGGATCCCCAGCCCTCCCCTCTCCCGGCCCTTCCCGCGGCCCCCACCCCCAGCTGTCACTCTGGGCGGCCCCCTCTCCGGCTCGGCCGCGGGGGGGGGGGCCCAGCCGGCGGTTAGCAACGTGCACTTTTGAAACCAAACAAACCCGCCCCCCGCGCGCTCGCCCTGGTCCGGGGCACTGGCGGCCCTCTCCTGGGGTGGGATCCTAGGGAGCTGGGCCCCCCGCAAAAGGGTCCCAAGCGAGCTTCCTCCAGGGGGCTGGCGAGGCCCCCTCACCAGCACTCCGCAGTCGGAACTCACAAACACAACGGAGCTCACACACCCACAATCGCACGCGCCTGGAGGACGCCCCCTCCCCCGCCGGGGCGGCGGCAAAGAAACTTTCCAAGTTGTCCGCGCGCCCCCACCCCCATCTCCGCCCCTCCGGAGCCCCGCACTGACTTCTCTCGGCGGCTTTCCGGCCCACGCGGCCTCGGGGAGGGGTGGGGGTTGCGGGGCGTCCCGGCCGGGGGCGGAGAACGCCGGGGGCGCGCGCCGCGTACCTGCCGGGCCTGACACCCGCCTGACAGCTCGCGGCTGGAAAGCACCTCGCGGCCTGACGTCAGATCCCCTCTCCTCCCCTCAGCGCGCGCCTCGCCCTCCCCCACCGCCTGGAGGCAGAAAACAAACTTTGAGTGGAGCGGGGCCAGCTACGCCCACCCCCCGCGGGGAGGGCCGGCGGCGCTGGGTTTAGCCACGCCTACTGCGGGAGGGGCGGGGCGGCACCTCCTTCCTGCGCCCACCCCCCTCAGGAATGCCACATGGCCTCGAGCGGCTAGCGGTGGGACCTCACTCGCGCTGTCTGCTTGGGGGCAGGAAGTGGCCCTCTCCTCCGCTCTGAGAGCGTTTCCGGAGCGCCTACTGTGTGCTTGTTGCTAGGGTGGGGCGTTACAAGGAAAGAAAGTGCCAGACCCGACCTTAGTAAGCGTGCTCGCTGCAGCGGTCCTCGGGCTGGCGCTGGGAAACTGAGGGACACTTAGTCCTGAGAACCTCCAGTTGGTAAGGGACAGTTCAGGATGCGATGGCTCTTCGGTCCCCCAGGGCCCACGGAGTCGAGAAGAAAGCCATCTCCGATAAAACCCCAAGCAGGTAGCCCAGTCACGCACTCGAGAGGCGACCGGGGGTGATAACTGGCAGCGCTTAGGGAGCGTTGATGACGCAGCCAGGCTGGCCCCGCGCTTCGTGGGCATCATCCCGTGCAGTTCTCCGGTTATCTGGTAGGTGCTGATTTACGCGGAAGCTGTACAGAGGCTTTGCATTTGCTTTTGTCAGAGTCCACCAGTGTCATCTACCCAGGCGGGTCTGACAACAGAGCCCAAGCCTTCACCATGGTGCCTGGATCTAGACGGAAGCAGAGGGTCAGTTGGGAGCTCGCAGCGGTCCTGCCTGGTTTCTTCTTCCTCCTCTACCCGCTATGCTGTGCCCAGGTCCAGGTTTTCCTTGGCCTCCCGCTGCCCGTTAGCACTTCCTTCTTTCTGTTCTACACTATGAAGTACCTGGTGAGGGATCCCCAAGCCAGCACAATAAAACTCAGATCTGGGAAAGCCTTTCTTGGGCCTGTTGGCTCAGATAGCTAGGGTCCTGTGCTTAGAAATCAGCAGCCTTGAATACAACTTTTGGACTCTTGTTTGTTTTTGAGACAGGGTCTTGCTCTGTAGTTCAGGCTGGTCTTGAACTCAGAGATCCTACTGCGTCAGCCTCTGGAGCGGTGAGATTATAGGCGTGCACCACCACACCCAGTTCTTTCTTTAATGCTTTATTATTTTGTTGTTAAAGACCAGGTCTTGCTGTGTTGCCCAAACTGGTCTCCAACTCCCGAGCCCAAGTGACCCTTCTACCTCAGCCTCTCAAGTAGCGGGCACACCTGTGTACCCAGCTCAGCTTTGGTCTTTTTGTGGTCTTTTTGTACCGGGGATCGAACTCAGGGACTTTCCACTTGCGAGGCAAGGCAGCAGCGGCACCACTGAGCTAAATCCCTGGCACTTTGTGTTTGTTTTTGAGATGGTTTTGCTATGTAGCCCAGGCTGGCCTTCAACTCTGGATTCTCCAAGCCTCAGCCTCCTGTAATCTAGTGTTGGATTTACAGGTGTGTGCTGTGTCCTCATGGTCAGCTTTAGCTTTTGGTCTTAATTGCGCTTTAGCAGTTGAGAATTCTGAGAACAGAAGCCCCACCCCCCAGCCCTAACCAATCTGTATGCTGATTAAATGACTTAAGGTTCACCTGGACTTCATAAACGCCAGACTTCTTTACAAGTTGAGCATGCTGTTGTCCGTCCCAAATGTCAGTGATACTACTCGGTGCTCTCTATTGCACATGTGGTCCAGGGTGGCAGCCATAATTTCTTGGCCAAGTTGTGCTCCATCCACAGCCATCTGAGAGAACAAGGGAGACCTGGGCACTACTAGGTAAGAAAGAGAAAACCAACTGGGCCCTGGCTACTGGGGCACGACATGGATGGGGCATGGGCCTCTCCGAGTAGGAACCTAGGGGCCTTACCCAGTGAGCCTGGAATCATGACTGTCTCTGGCTGCTGAGGGAACTGGCACTAGCCATTATGCTGGCTGTGCTGAGAGCCAGACTCTGCCATTTTGGGGATCCACTGGGGGCCTGATGAGAGCCCACAGACCTCCTCACAGATCCCACCAGTGGCAATCCCCTGGGCCAGTGCTTCCTAAGTCTGCTTAGCTGGGGAAATGGAAGGGAGTGACTATAAATCTTGGAGCGCTTCCCCATTCTTCAGTAGGGTATGTGGGGTGGGAGGTGAAGGAGGCTGGTCATGTGTCTGGATTTCACATTGTGAATAAATTACCCCAAAATCTACTCAGAACTAGAGAATTGCAATGTTTCTCAGCTAGTATCAGAATTTCATATATATATATATTTCCTTTTTTTGTACCAGAGAATGAACTGAGGACCTTGAGCTTGCAAGGCAGCCGAGGTACCACTGAGCTAAATCCCTGGCCCTGTGTGCATATTTTTAGTAATTCCACTTTTAGGGCTATAGTTTGAGAAATAGTTGCACGGCAAAGATAAACACTTGTATGAGATTATTCTTTACCACCTTGTTCACATTCTGGAGAATTGCAAATGACTACTGCTCACTGGGAGCTGACTTGTTACAGCAACTCTGGTGCCTACACATGGGAGGCTGTTGGAATGGGATAAATCTGTGACCACTAATGCAGGGTGTGGGAGTTGGGCCAGGTGTACTACTGACAGCTTCCTGTGTTTGGCTAGGAGGGGCTTTGGGCATACTTGTTGAGAACTTTCATGGACTTTTTCCAACTGGTACATTGTTTTTGTTTTTGATGGAGTCAAGGCTGGCTTTGAATTCCTGAGCTCAAGTGATCCTCTTGCCCTCAGTCTGCAAGCAGCAAGGACTGCAGGTATGAGCCGCCATGCCCAGTGGTTGGTTATTTTATTGTTATCTTTTCATCTTTTTCTCATCCAGTGTTTTGTTTGTTTTGGTGAGGCAGAGGGTCTTGCTGTGTTGCCCAGACTGGTCTCTTAACTCATGGCTCAAGTGATTTCTGTTTCAGCTTCCTGAGTAGCTTGGACTACAGGCGTTTGCGGCTACTCCAGGCTCTCTCATTCAATTTTTTTGTTCATTTGTTTTTTGATACAGGGTCTTGCTATGTACTTCAGGCTGGTCTTGAACTCACTGTGTAGTCCAGGCTGGCCTCATACTCATGGCAATCCTCCTGCTTCCTGAGTGCTGAGATTCCAGGTATGTGCCACTGCAACTAGCTTCTCATTCAATTTGACATGGTTCCTTTCTAAATTAAAAAAACAAACAAAAACACTATTGTAGTGGGCTGGGGATGTAGCTCAGGAATGGAGTGCTTGTCTAGCATGCATGAGGCCCTCAGTTTGATCCCTAACACCACCCTTGAACAAATATATTTGTGGCAAGAAAGCACTCTCCTTTTCCCCCCCGCACATATATATACACATATCTGTGTCCCTGAGAGGAGACCTGCCTGACAATCAATCTGGGGTTCTGACCTCTGGGCAACATCTGGGGTGAAGTGGGGGAGATGGAAGTCGTGTCCAAGCTAGATCTTCCCACCCAGGTCATCTGATAAGGGCACTTTGTGCCAGTGGTACAGTTTCTAGAATTCTTGGTGCACATAGGTGCAAATGAATGCGATATGAATTTACTTTTTGTTTGTTTGAGACAGGATCTCACTAGTTCAGGCTGACCTTGCACTCACTATGTAGCCCAGGCTGGACTCGAACTCACAGCTGTCCACCTGCCTACCTCATCCTCTCGAGCACTGGGATTACAGATGTGTGCCACCACACCTACCTGAATTCACTTTCATCAAAAACAAAACAAAGGAGCTAGCTGACCCTCTTTTTATGGAAGTGGAGAAAGGGACCAGTATTGACAGATTGCCAAATGGCCAAGTCTAGGCCTCACCATAAAGGATATGGGTAAGAAAAAAAGAAATAAAGGATGTGGTACCAGAGTGGAGGGTAGAGAGGGGTGTGTCTAGTAAAGGCTAGGGCAAGAGCGATACAGAAAACAGCTAGGCTGTTGGTCAGCTAGGCGGAAGGGACTTAAACAGAGAAAGAACCTGGATGTGGTGTTGCAGGCCACAGGATGTCCTGGGCAAGTTTCTGGGACAGTGGCTGGGGAGAAGCTTTGGAAGAGACTGGAGGGGGGCAGTTGGGTGATGCATCGTTGGTTAATGGAAGTGGAGCTTCTGGAGACCTGCTGGGGGACAGAGATCTGTGGCTCTCCTGTGGGGTTCTTCGCTGTCAGCCCTGTGGATTTTCACTTAGCAACATCATCATCCCTAAAAGTCTCCTGCTAGCTTCTTGGTCAGCCATAATTGGCTTAGCTTTCTCCTAGTAGTTGGGCATTTATCCATTGAACTTATTAATGGGTAAATCTCCCCCCACCTTCTGTCTCCTGTCCCCCAAGCCCCTTCCTTCCTTTTTGTTTTTGAGCTGAGGATTGAACACAGGCTCTTGTGCATGTTAGGCAAGTGCTCCATCACTGAGCTACACCCCAACTGCATTTATTTTTTAGTGTCTACCTTGTCAGACTGTGCTTGGGACAGGCTGGGGAACCACTGCCTGGGCCATCCATGCCATGATGCCATGTGGTGGGAAGGGTGTGGCACTCAGGATTTGTTTTCTTTTTCTTTTTTTTTTTTTTTGGTACCAGGAATTGAACTCTGGTCCTTGCACTTGCGCAGCAGGTGGTGAAACCACTGAGCTAAATCCCTGGCCCAACACTCAGGATTTGGATGAGTAGCCAGGTGATTGAAGCAGATCTGCCAAATAATGCTTTGAACCTGTCTTCTCACCTGTGAAAAATCAGGCTTTGGGTGAGAGTCAGAACAGCCATGGAAACCCTTTGTGAATAATGTTAAGGGCCTGTGGCATCACAGGTATGAGTCTCATGTTATCACAGGTCTGTCTCTGCTAGTCGTGTGGCATTGAACTGTAGCCTCACTGGACTCGTGACTTTCCTTCTTCATCTGAAAAAAATGTTTTTAAGTGTTTTTGAAAGATTTTATGTATATATTCTAAATATTAATATACACACAATGTTATTTACATATAAATATGCGTGTGTGCCTGTATACTCACAGCTTCGGCAATTCTGGGGTTTGTTTGTTTCTTTTTTGTAGTACTGGGGATTGAACCCAGGGCCTTCACACTGAGCTACATCCCTAGCCTTTTTATTATTTTGAGGGTCTTGCTAAATTGCTAAGTTCCCTAGGTTGGGCTTGAACTTTTGATCCTCCTGCCTCAGCCCAGAGTGCTGGGGATTACAGGCATGCGTCACCACACTGGGCTTATCTTTTTTTACTTCATCTTTGTTAGTTTAGTGAGAGGTATTACTAAAAGCTGTATGTGTTTGGCATGGCTTTCTTTTTAAATTTTGATTAGCAAATGTTTGCAGTAAATAATGATTACATTCATTGTGGGGAGATGATACCTGTACATAATACATCTTAATTCTTTTTACTTCCTCATCCCCCATTTCTTGATCCCCTTCCCATTTGCAAAAGGTCTGTCTCCCTGTTTCCTAAGATCTGTCTTTTATTTTGCTCTTTAAATTATCTAAACCTTGGGTTTCTCACATAAGAAAAATGTGATATTTATGCTTCTGTGTCTGATTTATTTCAGTTAACATTATTGTTACAAGGTGAATCCATTTTTTTTCTTTTTTTTTTTGAATCCGTTTTCTTACAAATGACTTAAATTAGTACTCCATCGTGTATAAATACCACATTTTCTTCATCCATTCATCTGTTGATGGACAAATAGGCTACTTCCAAGATTTCGCTATTATGAATTGTGCTGCTATAAACTTGGGTATGCATGTATCACTGTAATATGATGTCTTTAACTTTTTGGGGGAAGATACCTAGTAGGGGACTACGTGGGACAAATGGAATTCCTATTTCTAGTTTTTTGAGGAATCTCCATACTGATTTCTATAGTGTTTGTTCTCGTTTACATTCCCTCCAGCAATGTAGAACCCCCAGAATGTCATAACTGCATTTGTTATTACAGTATTTGATTCGTGAAAATAGCCATTCTTTCTGGAGTAAGATGGAATCTCATTGTTGTTTTAATTTGCATTTCTCTAATGACTAGAGATTTGGAACATTTTTTTCATGTATTGTCCATTTTTACTTCTGAGAAATACTCATTCATTTCAGTTGCCCATTTTTTGACTGGGTCTTTTACTTTGAGGAGGGAGCCTGACTTTTTGAGTTCCTTATAGTATTCTAGATATTTGTCCTCTGAGTAGTAGCTGGCAAAAATATTTTCCTGTTCTCAAGGATGTCTCTTCACTCTGGTTGCTTTCTTTGTTGTGCAGAAACTTTTTAATTTGATATGATCTCAACTGTTGATTGTTGGGGTTCTTGTGCAACTAGGTTTCTGTTCAGAAAGTCCTTGCTTATGCCTATGTCTTCAAAAGTTTTACCTTTTTTATCTTCCAGCAGATTGTTTTAAAATTTAGATCTTTGAGCCATTTTTATTTTAGGTTAGTACATGGTGAAAGATATGGGTCCAGCTTCAATCTTCTGCATGTGGATAGGCAGTTTAAAGAAGCTATCTCTCCCCCAGCATGTTTTTGGCCCCTTTGTCCAAGATCAGATAGCTGAATGTGTCTGGAGTTGTTTCTGCATCTGCTATTCTGTTCCATTGATCCACATGTCTATTTTTGTGCCAGTACCACACTGTTTTGATCACTCTAGCTTTGTAATATAATTTGAAATCCAGAATTGTGATCCTTCCTGCTTTACTCTTGTTGCCCAGGATCGCTTTTGCAATTCTGGGTCTCTTCTGTTTCCACATGAATTTTGGGATTCTCTAGCTCTGTGAGGAATGCTGTTGGTATATTTTGATTGGGATTGCGCTAAATTTATATATAAGTGTTGGAAGTATGGCCATTTTGACAATATTGGTTCTGCCTATCCAGGAACAGGGGATATCTTTCTATTTTCTGATGTCCTCTGATCTCTTGACTTTCAGAGTAGTATAGTTTTCGTTGTAGAGGTCTTTCACTTTGTTAGGTTAATTCTGAAGTATTTAATTTTTCTTGAAGCCATTGTGAATCGTGTTAGGTTAATTCTGAAGTATTTAATTTTTCTTGAAGCCATTGTGAATCGTGTATTTTCCTAATTTCTTTCTCAGTGGGTTCATTATTGGTGTACAGGAACATTATTGATATTTGTGTGTTGGTTTTCTTAAATAGCCAGGCCAAGCCCTGTTCTACTTGGGCTGATGACAGGATTTTCTTCCTGCACATACTTAGCATCAAAGGCATATCTCACATGGGCTTGTGCTGGAGCATGGTAACTGGAGTGTTGCCAGGGTGTGGTGTGTGTGACCTGTAGGTCGGGGTGCCAAGTCTTTCCTCTTGATGTCTTCTGGCTTCTTGACATACATGAAGTACAGTAGTGGGTATTGTGCATTTAATTTAAGGACAGAACTCCCCCCCCACCTAGTACCAGGGATCGAACTCAGGACCTTGGGCTTGCATGGCAGGCTTGGTGCCACTGAGCTAGATACCTGGCCTGTAAAACTATCCTTTCTGAGCTAGGTATAGTGGTGCATGCCTGTGATCCCAGCACTCAGGAGGCTGAGGCAGAAGGATTGCTCTGAGTTTGAGGCCAGCCTGAACCACATAGTAAGACCCTGTGTCAAAAAGAAAAAATCAGGGCTGGGGATTTAGCTCAGTGGTGCTGCCGGCTGCCTTGCAAGCGCAAGGTCCTGAGTTCGATCGCTGGTACCAAAAAAAAGAAAAAATCAGCAAATGAGCATCCACTCTTGTGGGTGAGGAAGACTTAATGGCTATATTTTCTTTATTGTTAATTTTTTTTTCTTGTGTTGAGGATGGCATTCACTTTACTATTGTCTTAGTTACTTTTCACAAAATAGCCAACATCCACAAGTTTAAGTAGGAAAGGTTTATTTTGGCTCACATTTTGTAAAGGTTTTGCATAGTTGGCTGGCTTCAAGTCAGGGCAGCATAGCAAAGGGGAACCACAGAGAAGAAATAGTTCATGGCAGGCAGAAGACAGCTAGTAGCAACCAGCCTGCCTTCCCTCTCTCCCTTTATATTCAGTCCAGGCTATAAGCTTGTTGATTGTTGTCACCCAGGCCCAGGGTGGTGCTTCCATTATCCACACCCAGAACTATGCTGATTCCAATCAGTGTGCT